TCAACAGAGAAGAAATCTGACAGACAGCCAAGGTTTCCCAGACAACCTTTGTGTTGACGGCTTCGCTGCAGGCTTGAACACACCCAGAACTCAGAGCAGATATTTGAGAGATGTTAGCACATGCTGAACTGCACTTTACCTCACTCCCCGAATTGCAGAGGCTGGGAAAGTCCACTGGTGTAAGCCTTTCTGTGGAATCAAGTAGGAAGGATAAAGATTGTTGACTGCTGAAACACATGCATAGCTTTTATTTACATGCATGAGAAATACAAGAGAGGGAAAGAAAGTAAACGGTCCTGAGGTATGAAGTAGGTCATTTTTCCCACACAGTGACGTCCATTGAACACACCCACACACTCATCCTATTAAACATTCACTGGGTCATGAATCATTGTGAAACTTGCTTTTCACAATACCATTTATTTTAAATTCTGTTTTGTATTGCAGGAAATATGTATCCAGATAAGAGTGTGGTTCTAACAGAGGAGGGGGCAACATACCTTTAAGGGAGTGACGTGTCTCAACTGGACAGTGCGGCTTTCATCCTCCTCGCTCACACACACAATAGCTGGTTGGAGGATTTTACTGGGCTCCATAATGAGCACCTGACAAGCAGAACATTCAGATTCTGTTACCAATATTTTAAATAACCAAAAAACAATCTTTTATTTCTTATTAGAGGACAACATGTTCTCTCTTTTTTCACGTTTTCTCTTTCTTTATCCATTCATTACAGCACTGAGTGTTGACCTTAAGATTCAAACGGACACAGGGTGGAGGAGAAGTTTGATGTTTATCGTTACAGTAAGGGTCAACGTTATCAGTGTGGTCTTACTGGGCAGCGGCCTGTGGAGTCGGTGGGTTTACAGGTTTGCAAAAGCAGCTCCATCCAGAAGTCCAAAGTTTCCTGTTTGGGAGATTTCACCTCGGGAAGCTTGGTAAACTGACGGTACAGGATATACGTCTCCATGATGGATGCCACATACCTGAAAGAAGTATTAAACTCATTAATCCACAAAAACATAATATGGCTATAAGACCAAAATCCCTCTGAATGCTTTCTTATTCAAAGGGATTTAGATTTTTTAATCCAACAATGTACATGATTACCACTAATCCAGAATTAAAGCCTCACCATACAGGAGCATTGAGTCTGTAAAGTTTATCAGAGGCCATGATGACTTTCCGATGTTCGTTAGCGAGGATGTTTGCCCCAAGGTAGAAGCCGACATCCCAGTAATCCTTCATCTTCTCCAAACTGCCCTTTCTACCGAGCAGAGTGCTTAGAGTCACACCTGAACACCAACACAGAGCAAAACAATTCAGTAACAAATTCATACGAAATAACGATTATATTTAGAAACTAAAAGGCTTATATGTGTATCAACAGATGACAGCTGCCCTGTGTCCAACTATAAGTCATTCTCTGGGGCGCCGAGCAGGTATACAAAGAAAAGGCAATACTGATTTAACACTACATACATTCTAAATGATACATGAACAAATAAATAAATGAATTCATGATGTGTATTGGGAAATTGACATGAAATAAGCTTTTCAATGATTGGTTTCCTCCATATTTCATTGTATCTTAAACTTTTAAAATCCAGCCTGAATTGTGGACTCTCACATTAAAATAATGGATTGCATCATAACTAAGTATAAGGGTAATACACCTACAGCATAAAGTGTAATGTGCAAGTAGTATAAACTCATTGACACAATAAATCCTTAGACCATAAACTTGTATTGCCGCCATATTTGATCGAAGCCGATATGTGTCATTGATTCTATCTGATAAAGAAAGCAGAAAGGAGTAAGCACCTATTTTGCGCAGTTCAATAGAAGTGTCAAATTCATGTCCAGCTGCCATCAGGAGGACCACGTTGTTGATGGCCGAGTGAAGAGTTGGCTCTGTCTCAAACCCTTTCCCATACCTGACAAATGATATAAACAGAGCAATAACGGATTATAATTGAACACTGCCAGATAGGGGGAATCAGTTACGCCAAAATAGTAATGTAACATAAACAGTAAACACATATAAGCAAGTACTTTTAAGTGGAGTATGTAGCAAAGAACAGAAAACATACAAATGCCACTTTTAGCAGTTTGTAATATGCACAAACACAAAGCGGTTGTACCAATAGCAGGCCTGGTCTCTGCTGCGCTCATCGGTGAACCCAGAGCTCATGAACATGTCTTTGTAGATCCTTCCACACAGGCAGTAGATGTCTGACGCCACTCTCACCCCCGAATCCACGATGGGTAGAATTGCATCCAAAGCCTTGGCGCGATCTCCAGGGCGATTCCTCCTGAAATATTTGTTGATATCAGCTGTGATAAGCTTGAACAAAATCCCTCATATCTTTCATACAAGCTACAGGCTGGGAATGGTACAAAAGTGTTGTATCTAAACAAGAGCAGAGACTATAATACTATACTAAAAATAACTATAAATGCAATGGGGGCTTTATGGGTACCTGTTTAGAGCAAAGATGTAGTTAAACTTGATATTCTGATGTCTGGCTACCAGACACATGGGCAGGTCATTCAGAGTCTCCACCAGTTTGATTATGGCATCGTAGTCCTGAGAGGGTGCAGAATTACAATGCATTATTGAACATGCTTCTAATTACATTTAATAATGTATATGAATACTAGATTTATCAACAATAACCATTGGAACCTTAATTGTGGTCTACATCACACCTGACATGCAATCTGATCATGAGCTTTGGTCATATCTGATTACTTTTAAGGGAAACATTGCTGATTTTTAACCAGATTTGTAGTTTCTACTGTTGCAATGTGGATAGTTAATGTGCATGTATAGAGGGTTCAGCTTTATGATACTGGCAACTGGCAAACCGCTCATTTGACAGCTCGAATGTCCTTAACATTAATATTGTCACCATGAAACACTGGTTTTTATTGTGTTTTAAGCAAAAATTCCTTAAATGTAGTCAATTAATCAGTTAATGATCCATAAATCCCAAACGTGTTGTCGTCTGATTATGTGAAGGTGTGCAGTTTTGTTATTCAATGAATCTTCAATATTAGGTTAATTGCTATTTTTCTCAAACAATTGTAATATGACATTTTTGGCCTTGAAATGAATACATTTCTCAAACTAAATCATTTGAAAGATGACTAAAGAAATAGAATAACAACTGGTTGTAGCCCATAAGCTTTTACACACTCCATGTCAGAGCATTTACTAATATGCACACGTAAACCGTGCAGTCTATGACGTAAACACACACCTGATTGTCTCTGTAGGACAACAGCAGGTTGGTGACTATATCAGGGGTGAGCAGCTCGACACTGTCCAAGCGTTTCTGGATGCGGCTCAGCTCCTCACTCAGGGCTTGACCACTAAACCGCTCCCGTGCCATACGGATCTCGTGCATGATCGACTCCCGGAAGTACTCACTGTCAGCACAAGAGGAGAAAACATTTTAATGTCTGTCTACAAATGCATGTGCAATCTGAGACGATGGCGTTTTTGGTGAAGCACACGATGGTAGACAAAGCCCTGTTGTGTGTATCTGACCTGGACTGAACGTGCACATTGTTCAGCAGATGCACCAGTCTGTCCACCAGCGGGGTCAGCAGGGGCTCCAGCAGGAAACTAGGCTGCATCAACTCATTGATACCGTTCATCATCGCAGCATCACAGGCAAACACTTTTCCCTGAGGGGACACTACGTAAGGGAGGAACGTGTAGCTTCCACACTGCTCCTAAAGGGAAAAAGTACACAATCATGCGGGGTTCAATACACACTATGGGGACCTCGATCGGGCTGAGGAATCATGGATGTGTTTTTGCTTTTGATGCTTAAGGTTTCATTTCATTTGACTCAAAAACAATGGATTTGGTTGTGATTTCAAATGCCTTTATCATCAACATAGTATTGTTCTATCAAATCTCTTTTCATCTATAACATTTCATGAATTACATGATTTCCTTTAGAGGTATTAACTGTTTTTTACTCAACTCTGATTAAGTGCCATTGGCCTGAAAACAAACTGAAAATATTCACCTTCATTGTTAGGAAATAGTGATGGTCATTTCTCAATAATTTCTTACATTTTAAACACAAAACCATTCATCGATTAGCCATAAAGTAGAATCAGCAGAATGATGAATAATTACAGCCATGGTTGCAGCCTTGTCCAGATCAACACACTTAAGTGAGTTTAGGGCAAAAATCAATTGTGTGTCTCTGTTGGCTCCCATTATCTCACACTCATTAACTAATAATGAAAGACTCTCCTCAAGCGCCTCTTTAAGTGGTGCGTAGCATGCCACACATTATCAGTTATTATTCCAATTATCAATATTAACTATTTTACACAGTGCACCTGATTTTTTTTTGGAAAGGCAGTTTGTAATCCATTGATCACTCCCTGGTGAAATCATCACATTGATTCACAACACAAATGCAAATAATGTGTTGTCATTAAGGTACCTTAACAGCCGGTAGATCACTATCTTGCTTGTAACAATACAGTATTATGTTATTGTTCATGCTGAAACTTTCTCTCACTCCCAGGTGGTAGAACAGGGAGGGCTGGCAGAAAGTGTCACTCATCTCCACCACTGCTACATCTGGGGGGGGGGGG